TTATACGAAATGAATATCGGAAAAGGGATTACGAAGAGGTTACAAGGCTTCTCTCTGTTTCTCTATTCTAGAGCTTTATTTATAACTTGTGTAATTCCAATAACAAGTCACTGAAGTTGCTTAATTTAACAAGTCACTGAAGTTGCTTAATTTTGGCAGGTTAAGTCACCAAACATGTACAATATGAATCTTTGGGAAACATCTGGCCATGCTGCAAATTATAAGGAGAATATGTTTTTATTTGAGGTGAGATGTTGTGTAACAACAGAAAAACAGAACTTGTTTCTGTTGTTTAGTTGTACAGGTGAATCTTAATATTTACATGAACTAACTTGAATTTTAACGTAAGTTGTTTAAAAAATATATTTTATGCATTTAATCTTCCTGTGATGTTCTCACTCTTTTTTTTTTGTGTGCGTGTGTGTTGGGGGGTTATATTTGGTTTCTGCTACAGATTGAAAAGCAAGAGTTTGGACTGAAACCTATGAACTGCCCAGGCCACTGTTTAATGTTTCAGCACAGAGTTTGTTCCTATCAAGGTCAGTTCAAATACATCTGTGTTTCTCCTATTTCTTTTCATCATGTTTCTAGAAAAACATTGATACTGCTTAGAGTACTAGGCAGGGTGTTAACATTAGTACAAGGCTGCAGCATCCTTTCTTTCTTAGAAGTTCCGTCATTGTTTGCATCATAACTTAACTATTTCTTGAGGAGAGCTTAAAGAAGCTTCTCTGGGCTATACTTCTTTGTTCACTACATCATTTTGATGCTTTAAACATGGACTTCTGTCTTTTGGTGCTTACTTTGTAGGTTTCCTCCATATGCGGATGTTGATTCAACATTTCTTTTCTCCCTTCTCTTTCATACTATGGAACGAGTTATAGTATTAGTGAACAAATTAGTGCTAATTATAAATATTTTCAAATGGTCTTGGCTTGAATACATGTTCATATGATTTGCTCGCATCTCTTGGCTCTGCCTTAGTTCTTTTTGAGCCTCAAGATTTAACTTTTCTTTTGAAAGAGATATTTGAGATCATTTGGCTGTCATGTTAATTGTGATCGAGGTGATTTATCTTCTCATTTCTGGCTTCTTCGCAACATTCTTATCATTATCAATAATTCATGCAGAACTACCTCTTTGCCTGGCTGATTTTGGTGTCTTGCATCGTAATGAGGCTAGTGGGGCACTGACTGGGTTAACACGTGTCAGGAGGTTTCAGCAGGTACCTGTTGTTAGATGTGAACTTTCAAGATTGTGATCCTTGCTAGCTCTATGTACCTTTCTGTTGGCTTGACACCAAAGACCAATTTTGGTGTATCATGATTGATTCCCAAGTGAAAACTTGCTTGGTGGTTTTTGGACTTAATTTAAAACAATTATACATTTTGATTTGCATAGTTGTGCTATTTAAAATTCTCTCCAGAAACCTCGTGAACATCTTTTGGGTGAAAGGAGGTATGGTGGATGTTCTTTTATTGACCTCCTTTTTTTGACATTACTTGTATTTTTACAGGATGACGCCCGCATTTTCTGCAGGGAATCCCAGGTGAGGTTGGCTTTAAATTGTAACTTATAATCTGAATTATTTTTATTCCCTGTTTCTTTTATAATGTTTGTGTTAACCTTTATTTCTTTATTTTTCCCAGATAAAAGAAGAAGTTAAAGGTGTCCTGGAGTTCATTGATCATGCTTACACTGTTTTTGGATTTACTTATGACCTGAAACTTTCTACGGTATGAGAAGCTCCATTCACTTAAATTTTTAGGAATTGAAAGTATTTTTCTTCGATAACTAAGTGCATTTTGCAGGGAGTATAGATGATGATTTATTTTCTGTCTATAATTTTCAAATGCTATTCATATAAAAACACAGTTTCTTGAAATTTTATTTATTTATTTTCTTCTACAATTGTTTGTTAAAATGGTTTTGGATGATCTAATATATCTACTTCTGTCAGGATTATATTCTTGTTATATATTAGAAGACTTAAAGACTAGTTATTTAAGTGTGTAATCATTTTTGGATTGAATTCTAGATGCAATTTTTATTTTGTATTACAAATATTTGAACTGTAGAGGCCAGAGAAATACCTTGGTGATTTGGAAACTTGGGACAGAGCTGAAACTGCTCTTACAGAAGCCTTGAATCAATCTGGGAAGCCATGGCAGGTCAGCTTTCTATTGAACCCCTTAAGTCAACTTGGGGTTCTTCACTATAGAGGTTGTTTTGGAATTAATTGTGTGGGTAATAAATGAGAAAATTTTGCTTCTGCTATGATCCGGCCTATATATTGTTACTTGGAATGTGGTATGACTTGCAATATAAATGCACGTAGAACTTTCTCAATTTTTTAGCCTCAGTAAGTTATTGCCTAGTCAAAATATTAGTTCAAGCTTATGATTCAATAGGATCTGATATTTTGAGGTGCGAATGTTGTGTGCCGGAAAAAGTGGTGAGTATACCAAGTGGGTTTGATTTGTTGCTCAAGATCTCTTTTCTTGTATTTGGGACCTTTTGTTTAGCCAATCGTGAGTCATAAATTTATACTGATTAAATAGTGGAATTCTCTCTTGATAAGAGAATAGAAAGCAGTTGGCTTGCCTGTTTTGATCTATTTGTTGTGCTTTATTTTCTCTATTTTATACTGAGGACTAGTCAATGATGCTGTCCATTTTACTTGGCTTCTTTCTATATGTTTATATCTAACTGTAATGTTGGTACAGATAAATGAAGGAGATGGGGCTTTTTATGGTCCGAAGATAGATATTAGTGTATCTGATGCACTGAATAGGAAATTTCAGTGTGCAACATTACAGGTTGGTGTTCTTCAATTGTGCTTCATTTTTCTTCTGCCTCTATTATCTAATAATCTATTTTTTCTGTCTTATGAAAATTGCCGGTGCCCTTTATTTCAGTTGGACTTCCAGCTCCCCGAGCGCTTCAAGTTGGAGTACTCAGCCGAAGATGAAGCCAAGAGGGAGAAACCTGTTATGATACACAGAGCTATCCTGGGGTCTGTTGAGCGTATGTTTTCTATATTATTGGAACACTACAAGGGTAAATGGCCCTTCTGGCTTAGTCCCCGTCAAGCAATTGTTTGCCCTGTGTCAGATAAGTCCCAGAACTATGCGATAGAGGTAATTTGATCTCGGAGTATGCTCCTTTTCGCTCAATTGTCAACCTTATGGAATTTATGGTGCATCTATGTATAGTCATTGCATATGCTATCTGATATTATCTATTTCCCCTGCATTCTGCCTTACCCCTTGTTGGACAAGAAATTATTTCTCAATTGGCCGCAGCGTAATAAATCCTTTATCTCCCTCATTTAACAATTTTAAAACATTCATAAATTGTTAATATTGTGTCCTGCATGTTCTCTTAATATTTTTTTGTGACTATTTATTTCTCGACTCACGAGACATATGTATGCTATTTTGTAGTTCCTATGATCTTGCCAAAATAGACATTTTTTATGTTGTTCTGGATGAGTTTTGAGAACAGAGCAACGTTTATGTGGGTGGAAACTATTGAAAATGGGACTCTGCATTTTTTTCTTACATCTTATGAAGTGTATGGCACTGTAGGATCCATTTAGTTTATTGTCGATGAGTTGATTGCTTGGTATGCATCAGTCTTTTTGAAGGGAGAAAATACTCAAATGTTATCCCTTATTTGATTTTCTTAGGTTCGGGATCGGATTCATGAGGCTGGTTATTATGTAGATGTTGATATGACAGATCGAACAATCCAAAAGAAGGTGCAACTCCTGACATCTTCAATTACATCAAATTCCATTTTTCTTGCAGTCAAGTTATGAACTCTTTCTATGTACAGTTATGCATTGAGGAACACACTGCCCTGCTGATTATTTTATTACACTATGCTTCAGATTTTTTGCCTATCAATCTCCAACCAGCTTGCTCTGCTGTTTCCAAGTCAAGGTTTATATCATTATTTTTGAAGTAATCAATTTTTTCCACTTGTTTCTCGTGTCACTACGCAGGTACGAGAAGCTCAACTGGCACAGTACAACCATATATTGGTTGTAGGAGAAGTGGAAGTGAACAATAAGCAGGTTTGTCCAACCTATGTTTTCTGAATAGATTTAATGTGCCTTTTTGAATAAATTTGTATACCTTTGCAAATGCGTGCCTCGTCGTGTGTGTGTATCTTTGCTGCTGATTATGATTCTTAAGTAAAAAAGAGAGCTAGCTGATTCCATGATATTTACGTTAATTGGGTGCAGGTGTGTGTACGGGCGAGGGATAAGGCAGAACACAAAACAATGAGCATGGATGCACTTCTCCAACACTTGCAGGCTGAAGCTGTTGCCTTCCATTAAGGATTTTACTTCTTTTTTTATTCTGACTTCCGAGTTCGTAATGAAATTGTTTGTGATTCCTTGATGTTTGAAGGGAAATTACTCCCATCTTCCTTCTTCCTTCACTGCATGCCCAGTTGTGGGATTTTATTTTTTTATGAAATTGTTGTTTGTCCAAACTATTTGAAATATTTTTAGAGCTTTATAGTAAAAGAAAAAAAGTTTTTTTTTGGTTATTTCTCATTAGTTGTTGGGGTGGAGAAATAAAGACTCCAGGAATGCTTTTGGGTATATGCAAAAGTGACACTGCAATTCATTTATGAACACAAATCTTTAGGTAAATCAATGAAAGCAATGGTAGCGTGATAAATGCGCTAAAGGACAGGGAACTAAAGTCTAAAACTTGCAAACTACGCTAAAGATATCAATAAACTTGTAATATCCCGTTGATTCATAATCCAGTTTCTTTACCAGTAACACCAATTTATCTTTTAAATTACTCAACGCGTTCCCTCTTTTTCTTGTCATCGTGAAAAAAGGAGCCACATGGACCAGTAAGCATTGATGAGTACTATAAATTATTCATAATTTTCACCGGAAAGGTGGTCATGAGTGATAGAGACATTCTCTAGGGTCAATTCAGATGGAAAACATAGTTTCCATGCCGAAGTGAATTTCACTTCATATATGTTTGTTTAACAGGGAGAAAGGGGATAAAGATTTTGCAAAAGAAAAGAAATGGGGAATCTGTTGCCATTTGTGGGAATGATAATGGTGATTTTAGTTCAAGTTAGCAGCATGGTGATAACCAAAGCAGCAATGTCTAGTGGGGTTAACAAATATGTTCTTATTGTTTACTCTAATGTTCTCTCCAGCCTAGTTCTCCTTCCTTGCTCCTTTGTATTCCACAGGTCCCTTTACAAAATTTAGCTCAACATCTTTATTTCAATTCGTTCTTTTTCTGTGTTCTCACATATGGTTTCTGAATTATGTGATTTTACAGATCTGTGCGTCTTCCATGGACCTCCTCCAACCTGTACAGATTGATCTTTTTACTTTCCTTGCTTGGGTTTGTACCTTATTTCTTCTCCTGCAATTTCAAGATTACACTATTTTCTTTAGTGGATCATTATTCAAAAGAAGAAGAAGAAAACCAATATTTTTTTTCACATCTTTATCAATGCAGATGCATCGGCCAGCTATGCGGATACGCAGGTATTGACTACAGTTCTCCTGCAATGGCAACGGCCATGCTCAACCTCATTCCAGCTTTCACCTTCATACTAGCCATCATTTTCAGGTTTTGCTAGTCTGCTTCATTTTAGAGTTGCCTTATCACCTTATTAATCTGTAAAACCATACTCGAAATCCTTGCTTCTTTGTCATTCAGGATGGAAAAGTTCGAATGGAGAAGCACAAGCAGCCAAGCCAAGGTCTTGGGAACTATAATCTCCATAACAGGGGCATTCGTAGTGACATTCTACAAGGGACCAACAATTCTCAGACTGTCTCATCAGCTTCTTTCATCTCCACAATTACAATGGATCCTTGGGGGGATTCTTCTTGCAATTGAAGCTTTTATGACTTCTGCATGGTATATTGTACAGGTTGCTATATTGTACCCTTCTTATACATTATCCTAACTATGATATTATAGAGATATAAATACAGTATGTACTGACTTTCATCCTTTGTGAATTCTGCAGGCAATGGTTCTGAAAAAGTTCCCGGCAGTATTAACTGTCATGTTTTATCTTTGCTTCTTCAATGCGATTCTTTCAACGATATATTCGTTGATGCTAGTTAGGGACCCTAGTGCTTGGAAAATAAGACCTGGTATAGGACTGGTCGCAATTTTATACTCGGTAAGCACACTATAGTTGCTACTTGAAGTCACTGACCAAAAGATTCATAACATGGTGTTGTTTATGCAGGCGATAGTGGCGACTACGTTTCGTATCAGCTTGTTTTCGTGGTGCCTGTGGAAAGCAGGACCTCTTTACGTTTCCATGTTCAAGCCGTTGGCCATTGTCGTTGCAGCCGCTATTGGCATTGTCTTCTTGGGAGAAGACCTTTCTCTGGGAAGGTATTTGAACAAATTGAAGCATCACTATAGACATTAGTTGAAGAAATATGTGCTTATAATAGTACTCCAACATATTATGGTGAGTAGAAAGTAATTGATGGTTAATTGTGGTTGGTTCCATTGTAGGGTAATTGGTGCAGTGATTATTGTGAGTGGATTTTATGGAGTGCTGTGGGGAAAAGCTAAAGAAGAGAGTTTGGGATCAGCAAGCCCTAAAGTCCCTTTCCTGCAAAAGAGAACAGATGATAAAAGTTCTGCTGTATAAAGAAAGGCAAATGTGATTGTAAATCCAACCAGGCAATCCTACTATACGGTTCCTTAAAGATTTTTTTGAGCCTATGTTCGTGTTTGTTTATTTATCTCTTAAGACGTTCATATTTAGTCTGTGTTAATTTCTATATTTTTGAAGTTATTCATGTTCAATTCGTTTAATATTCACGAACATGCTCCTATGATCGACAACCAACACTCTTTTTACCCTTTTACTTGCAAGAAAAAGAAAATGGTGAAATAACGTCACTAGTCCTTAAGCTCCTTAGACTTTACAATATAAACTCCAAAATTCATCATGTGTTCAATTTAATCTCTATCCTCACCAATATTTAAAATGTAAAAAATAAATAAAAAGAAAATGAGAACTGGGTAAATGAACTTGTAAGTTAGTCGATAAACAAGCTAATAAACGAGCTTTCAAACAAGCTTATCGTGTTCGTTCATTTATTAAAAAACATAAAAAAAATTGTTCATACTAATCTATTTAGCTTAATAATTGAACTATTTACAAACAATCCAATTAACATTCTATTCATTTACACTCCTAATAGAATATAAGGTAAATCACAAAAAGAAGAATTAAACTCATTTTCCAACTTAGTTTCCCATATTAGTCCGACAAATCCCCATCTAAGAGAAGTTAATCCTCACCACAAAAAAATCTTTAAAAAATGCTCCCTTATTAAATTTCTAAAGTTAAATTCTGAAAAAGAAGAAATGGGAAAGTAGTACATATGACAGCAGGCTAGGACTAGGACTAGTCGTTGATCGTCCTGAAGGTATTTGTTTCCAGGAAAAGTGTGTTGGATCTACCTGTATGGAAGTATCTTTGCCATTCGATATTTTATTTTTTTCAGGGCTTTGTATGTATGTAGATGCAGCTTTTTTGTCCGGAATGGTGTATTGGCTTTACCTGTAATGAAATATCTTTGCCTTCTGATATTTTGGTTTTTGTTAAGCTGGAAGAAGCAACCGTAATATGTAGAAGCAGGTGCCTGCATACTGTTTTTGTTGCCAATGTAGTTCCTACTTACCATGATCTGTTGGCCTGGTTTAAAGCACAAGTTTCTCTAACTGATAACTAAAGTGATGCTTAAAACCTCATATAGTTAGTTGACTTCATAAATTTGTTCAAATACCTTCCCAGATAAAGATCTTGGGGAAACAAAATAGGAACTACAAAGGAATGAATATTAAGCAAAAAATGCTGTTGGTTTTTTCTTTTTAAACGCTTCTGATCAGTCTTTGGTCTGTCGGTTTACATAACACTCATGTCGATGTGTATGAGTTCGGCTTCATGGGCATTGTGTATTGGTCCATAAGCCCACTATCTGAAAAAGCCATGGACTTAGCCCAATAACATGAACAGAGAGCAGCCTAGAGGTGGGGTTTGAATTGTACAAGGTGCCTGTTTTTTTTTTTTTTTTGTAGCCATGTAGTTTCTACTTACCACAATATTCTGGCCTGGTTAAAGCACATGTTTCTTCAACTGATGCTTAAAACCTGATGTTCTTAACTTAATTTGTTCAAACACCTTCCCTGAGAAAGATTTTGGGGAAACAAATTAGGAATTGCAAAGGAAATGAATGTTGAGTACAGAATGCTGTTGGTCTTACTAATTTGTTCACACGGTATTATACTAATAATTTTTTATTTGGGTAAAGTATGCAAATGGTCCCTCGACTATAGGACGTTATTTTGTTGAGTCCTCTAACTATTAAAGTTACAAAATGATCCCCGGCTATATAATGATATTTTGTTGAGTCCCCTTACTATTAAAAGTTACAAAACGATCACTCAACCATCCATATGTTCAAATCTCATCTATTTTCGTTTAAAAAAATTGACGGAATCTGAACTGGAGTCTGTTGATTAGGATATTATAAAATTATATTTTAATGATGTTTACAGGCACTGATGTTGCTTTCAAGCACTGGCTCAACGACATAATGTTTCAAGCATTAGCTCATGACATATGTAAACAGAGAGTTTATCAACAAAATGCAACTCAAACGGTTATGAAATCATATTTTATCATATCTCAATCAACAAATTAATGTACAACTCAAACAGTCATTGATTTTTTAACAGAAAAGGACTAGTTTTGAACATATGAATAGTCGAATGACCATTTTATAACTTTTAATAGCCGAATGACTCAACAAAATAACATCTTATACTCAAGAATCATTTTATAAATTTTAAGAGTACTCAACAACCATCTACGTACTTTACCCTTTTTATTTGAAAGAATTTAAACAAATTTCTGAAACTGAAACTGAAAGGAATGTTTTTTTGTTTAAATTAATCAAAAGAGTGGACCATTAGTGCTTATTATCATGCTTTAGAGGTAGGGCCTTGATCAATGTCCACCACAAACTCCATTCCAATCAACCCCATAAAATCAAATACCATTTTGATTATGGCTATTAAACCTCAATATATGAATAATACGTCTACATCTTCCCCTCTACTTGGAGCTAGAGTCAGTCACCCGAATCGCTTTTTCACTCCCCAAGTACCTTCACCCACATGTGAAAGGCTAATCTAACTAGCTGTCTTCTCACAAAACAAACCTTAATTTCTCTATTTTTTTTATAAATGCCCCCACATTACACGCCAGCACGCGGCCAAAGAGAGAGGGCAGTGGCTAAACCAGGGATTCTCTTCTTCTTTTGCTGCCGCTCTTCGTTGCCATTCATCGGCAGAACCGAGGGGGATGGTCATAATGACGAGAGAAAGAGCTGGTGAAATGGCACCGTTTACGGCGATGGTGATAATGGAAGCTTATACCATAGCACTCACTATTTTGGCCAAAACAACCATAACAGCAGGAATGAGTCCGTTTGTGTTTGTGGTTTACACCAATGCTGTGGGCTCTCTCTTGCTGCTCCCTTTTTCCTTTCTTTTTCATCGGGAAAGGTGCCTTCAAATGCTGCAATCTCCTCTATCTTTCTCCTTTTCTGAACTCTTCCATTTCTTTATCTTTGTTTCTTTGTTATTTGCAGGACAGACTGGTCGCTCTTGACCTTTCCACTCCTCGTGCGTATATTTTTACTGGGTTTAACAGGGTTGGTTCTCTCTTAATCTTGAAGCTTTTTTATTTATTTATAAATATCGATATTCAACGTGTATGGCCTTGAACTGATTTCTTCTTTTACCGGTGTTGATTTATAGGATAGCTATATCTCAGAATCTTGCATTCGTGGGACTAAGCTATAGTTCACCCATCGTTGTATGTGCAACCCGTCTCCTAATACCATCTATTTCCTTCTTGCTTTCCATCATTCTCATGTTCTTCTTCTTCCCAAAGCCATATTTTTCGTGTCGTTATCTCTTTCAGTTCAGAAAAAAAAAGGAAAACTCATGATGATAACAACGACACATGCATGATTCATGGGAATGATAATAATTAGTATACACAATATCAAATTTAACCCTAACATTTGTATGAATGATTATTTTAAACCATATTTTTAGCATTTTAATCCTTAGTATTTTAGCATTTAGTGATATTTTAATCTGTGCTAAAATGTTGATTTAGTATGTGTAATGTCACTCAAGGTAATAATATGACATGTGTTATGTCATCTAAGATGATGATGTGATATACTAATATGTGACACATCAATAATTAAATACATATGAAAGTATCATATCGGTAATATATATTGAGCATTAAGACTCATTTTAACTACAAATTGAAACGTTTGAAGTTAAAATTTTCAACAACAAAAAATAAAGATTAAAGTAGCATTCAAATAAATGTAGGGACATTATACCTAATTAAACAGATTCCAAAAGTTGTCCGACGTTTTCATTATCATATAGGAAGACAAAGCCCGATTGGAGTAGCAGCAGCAGCAGCCAAGCCCAAGTGATTGGCACCTTGGTCTCCATCATTGGAGCCATTGCTGTAGAACAATACAAAGGCCCATTTGGCATTTATACGAAATTCCTTCTTCTTCCAAGGCAACCATTATCAACTTCAACATGAACCCACATTTTTTGTGTTCTACTCGGCACCGGATCGTTGGGTTCTCGGCGGTGTTCTCCGAGCTACCGCCTCCTTATCTGTTTCAATATGGAATATTATTCTGGCTGGGACTGTTAAACTATATCTACAAGTGATGAAAGTGGCATCGTTTTACAGCTTGGTCGGGACTCTCCAGTGTCTGGTTTTCTCTTTGTTGATGGAGAGAGACTTAAATGCTTGGAAATTGAAACACAAACAAGACCTTTTACTCGTTGTTTTGACAGTAAGAACAGGAAAACTTGAAATTCTGCTAAGTATATATATTTCATTAATGATGGATTCAATTATATTAAATTGTTTTATAGGGAGTCTTTGGGAACATTATCCGTGGCAACGTTCATTCAGCATGTACACGAATGAAAGGCCCTTTCTACGTGCCCATGTTCAATACATTTGGGATAGTCTTTGCCACAGTTTTTGGTGTTACCTTCTTTGCAAACAGTCTTCATTATGGAAGGTACTCAGTCCGCAACCTGTGTTATTATCGTTTGTTCGATTGAGTGATAGAAAGTTCGATGATTTAATTAATACGAAACTTGTTACAGTGTAATGGGAACATTGATAATCGGAGTGGGATATTACACGATGATGTGGGGGCAAATGAAAGAAGAAGAGCAGCGCCGTAAAGAAGGTGATGTCCAGAGAATGGACCTGGAGAAAGCTCTACTGTTGGGGAAGGAAGAACACAGATCTAAGAGCACCATAACAATTGTTGAAAGCTATTGGCAATGGCAAGGGACCCTTCTTTTTGAAAATGATGCTATGCTAGGTTTTCTATAAGATACTTTGGTTGCATGTATATACTACGTATGATATGCAGGTTGTTGCTGTGGTTTTTTGTAGATATGTTTTTCTTCTTCTTATTTCGTTTAATCATGTAAAAAACATTAAATTTTATTTTTAAAATAAAAAAAATTAATTTGTAAAAACTATTTGTGCAATATCACATATTACCATCATATTTGTCAAATAAAATTACTAAAATATATAAATTATTGATGAGGAGAGAAAAAATGATGTAATAAAATTTATAAAAATGTCACTCAACGTTTTCGTTAATTTTGAATATTTTTATGAAAAAAAATTAATCTAGTGGCCAAAAGAAAATAGAAATAATACATTGATGACTAATAATATAGTTTACCCTAAATTTTATTTATTAATAAAGTGACACATTCATATTTTTTAAGACATTTCATATCCCACCTTTTAATTTTTATATTATAAATTTAAAATTTATTTAATTAACATCATTATTGTCGTAAGTTATAATATCAATAATGAGTTCAATAAGTATTCATTAGTCTCTTGTTAAAAAATCATAAATAATTTAAATATTACATAAAAGATACAAGTGTGTTATTTTAATTATCTAAAAAAATTAAATATCTTAAACTCGTTATAAGGTAATGTATGTTTAAAATCATTTTCAACCATTAATAATGTAAATACACTCTACAAATGCAGTTGTACAAACTCAAGAATTTTCGAAAGAATAATACTTCTTCTAACCATAAAATCCGAGGTGTTAATTGATAACTTTTAACCACTTATTCTACAAATTATTGACAAAAATTAAAGGCGAAGAGTTTACTAATACTAAATACAAAAACTACTAATTTTTATTACCGAGAGAAACTATAACAGTACAGTCGCATTGAAACTCCTGCAGTAACAAACGATATAAATACCATATTATAAGCTAATATTCAAGAGTGGAAACCCTGCATATTATTCACTAATAAAACATACACGATCGGCTTATTAAAACAGGAGTGTGGCCTACCCTTTATGCCTTGGTTTGAAGATAGTCATCGATCTCCACAAAGTTCTTCACAACAAATTCCTTGATGATGCTTGGATCAGGGATCTCTTCACTGACCTTCTCGAATTGGCAAGACCATTTAATCAAGCTCGACTCTCCTTTCGGAACCGCCACGATCTTAGCTATGAAGCTCATGTAGTATTTCATCAGATCCCCTTCAAAGATGCTGTAAACATATATTTTCTCCGCTTCGTCCACCGATTCGATTTTCTCCTTCGACACCTTAACCAACGGAGACCGTAAAAAAATTATATTTACTTAATACTTTAGGGAAACAACATTTTCTTTTACTGTACAAGTTCGAATGAATATTACCTTCGTTATAATTGAAGAGACGGATAGATCCGGGGAACTTGTCGTCGCCCTCGAGCACTTCAATGCTCTTGTAGTCATGGGATAACACTTGAGGAAAAATTGTGGTGGAGTTAATTGTTGGAAAATGGTCAAAATCGATAGACATAAAAATCTGATTTTTTTCGGTGCAATAATGCATCGAATGGGGCAGCTGTAAAATGTTGAATTTGTTGGCATGGGATAATTCACATTTAGTCATTGAACTTTAGGGTATTTATAAGATTAGTCATTAAGCTTCAACTATAAATACCCTAGCTCATTTAGCTTCAAAATCATCCCAAATCATTTCTTTCTCCCAATACTAGAGAGTTTTCTTGTGAGTAGTGAGTGTTTTGTAAACACATGTAAATTTTTTCTCTTAGTAAAATATATACAGCAGTCCGGAGACGTAAGCAAATTGGCTGAACTCCGTTATCAATTTCGGGTATTATTTTTCTGCTTTTATTTCGCATTCGCACTAATCTGGTTATAGGAAAATTACTCGTACTCAGTTTATTTCCCAACAACTAGTATCAGAACTTTTGGTTGTAAAATTTGTCAATTTTTTGTGAGGTTACTATTCATTACTATTAATATGAATAGTGAATTTCGTGAATAGTAAAAATTTTGTCGGCGATACGAAATTTTCGACGGAGGTGTTCTAATACAAAGTGGTTCGCAAGAATTTTCAGAAACGATCCAAACGAAGCCATATTCGAGTGGGAGCGATGACTGCAGACAAAGGGAAGGTGAAAATTGAAAAGTTCGATAGTGCGGACTTTGGCTTTTGGAAGATGCATATTGAAGATTTTTTGTACCAGAAAAATCTATATCAACCTCTCTCAGGAAAGCAACCAGAGGGCATGAAGAATGAAGACTGGGCTCTTCTCGACAGACAAGCCCTCGGAGTTATCCCGCAATGTTGCTTTCAAGATAGCAAAGGAAAAGACTGCGGTGGGTCTTATGGCAGCTCTCTCCAGTATGTATGAGAAGCCATCGACCTCAAACAAAGTTCATTTGATGAGGCGATTATTCAATTTGCGGATGGCGGAAGGGGCATCAGTGGCTCAACACCTAAATGAACTCAACACAATCACAACCCAGTTGAGTTCCGTGGAAATTGAGTTCGATGATGAAGTTCGAGCTTTAATTCTCTTATCATCTCTATCAGACAGTTGGAATGATATTGTTACAACAGTCAACAGCTCGTCAGGAAATAGTAAATTGAAATTCGACGATGTTTGGGATCTGGTATTGAGCGAAGAAATTCGACGGAGAGAATCAGGTGAAGCATCAACCTCCTCAGCCTTGCACACGGAGTCTAGAAATAGAACTTCAGAAAGAAATTCAAATCGTGGTAGATACAAATCCAGAAGGGGAAAATCAAGAACGGGAAAGAAAGATTATACCTGTTATAATTGTGGCAAGAATGGTCACTTTAAAAGAGATTGTCGAGCACTGAAGAAAGATACCGACACACAGAATCTGCCAACATGAAGAAGGAGACAGGTGATGTCATGATTTTAAGCGTCAACAGTCCGATTGAATCATGAATCTTGGATTCAGGGGCATTTTTCCACTCCACCCCATGCCAAGAAATCATTGAAAACTATGTCAGTGGTGATTTTGGGAAGGTTCATCTAGCTGATGATGAAACCTTGAAGATCGTCGGAAAATGAGACATCCTATTAAAGTTGCCAAACCAGACCACCTGGGTGCTGAAAGGAGTGAGACATATTCCTGGCCTCAAAAGAAATTTAATTTCTGTAGGACAGCTTGATGGAGAAGGATATAGTACAACCTTTTCAGGTTGTGAATGGAAAATTACCAAAGGAGCACTCGCCATTACTCATGGTAAAAAGACTAGTACTCTCTATGTAACCTCAAATTTAGAGAATATTATTGCAGCCACAAATGCTGATGGAAAATCAAACCTATGGCACCAAAGGCTTAGCCATATGAGCGAGAAAGGGATGAAGATGCTTTTGCCAAAAAGGAAGCTGTCGGATCTAAAGAATATAGATGTCAGAATATGTGAAGATTGCATCTTTGGCAAACAAAAGAAAGTCAATTTTGCAAAGATTGACAAGACACCCAAGGTAGAAAAGTTAGAGTTGGTTCATACTGATGTATGAGGACCATCTCCAGTTCCATCTCTTGCATGCTCATTATATTATGTCACCTTTATCGATGATTCAACAAGGAAGGTGTGAGTTTATTTTCTGAAGAAAAAATCAGAAGTCTTTGATACCTTCAGAAAATGGAAGGCCATGATGGAAAATGAGACTGGTTTGAAAATCAAGCGGTTGAGGTCTGACAATAGAGGAGAGTACATAAACAGTATATTCAGATATTTCTGTGCAAACAATGGGATCAAGATGGAGACAACAGTTCCCATGACACCACAGCAGAATGGCATAGCAGAGCGCATGAACAGAACTTTGAATGAACGTGCTAGAAGCATAATGATACATGTCGGATTGCCCAAATTTCTATGGGTTGAAGCTATCAACACTGCAGCTTACCTGATCAACCATGGGCCCTCAGTTCCTTTGGATGACAGAATACCAGAGGAAGTTTGGAGCAAGAAAGAAATAAACATTTCACACTTAAGAGTGTTTGGTTGTATTTCTTATGTACACATAGACTCAGCTGAAAGAAGTAAACTTGATGTTAAGTCCAACAAATGTGCCTTTGTTGGTTATGGTAGTGATAAGTTTGGTTACCGGTTTTAGGACTACGAAAATCGGAAGATCATCATAAACAGAGATGTTATTTTCAATGAGAATGTGATGTACAAAGACATGACAACCATAGAATCAAGTAGCTCCAATACCAAAGCTGAAATAAAGGAATTTGCTGAGTTCGAGGAGATTTTTGAAAATGATGTTCAGATCAGACCAGAAGCAGTTCAAGAAGAACCAGGCACACCAAAAATAAGACACTCCTCCAGAATTCCTAAACCAACCCAGCGTTATTCGCCTTCTTTGCACTACTTGTTGCTGACTGACAATGGTGAACCAGAGTGTTATGATGAAGCAATGCAGGTAGAGGATTCAGTCAAGTGGGAGTCTTCTATGAAAGATGAGATGGACTCGCTTATGTCAAATCAGACATGGGAATTAGTTGAATTACCACCAGGCAAGAAAGCTCTCCACAAAAAGTGGATTTACAGGATCAAAGAAGAGTACGATGGGAGCAAACGCTACAAAACGAGATTGGTTATCAAAGGTTTTCAGCAAAAAAGAAAGTATTGACTACATGTAACACCCCCAACCCGTATCCGACCCGGATACGAGTCCGAAGTGTCACATTGACTTTTCAAACCTTGACTCTTAAGAAAAATCCCGGGAAATTTAAAACTTTATTTAAATCAAAATAAAGACTTTATCAGAGTGCTCGTACTTAATGACTTATTACATGCCAACACTTTATACATAACCAAATACATACTTTGTCAAATATTTCTGATCTGATCTTTTGGTAAGGAAAACTGACCTGTCTTGCTCCGCATCACTCCTTACTCTTCTCGAAACCTACGTGTGAAACAATCACACGCTAAGTCGAAGACTTAGTGAGGCATAACAACTTATAATGCACTTTAAAACATATATTGATATATGCATGTTTTGTTCTATCATGTTATAGCAATTCCATGCATTTTTCATATCGTATAAAATCATATCAGATTAATTGCAGTAAATACATACATACACATAATTCATCATTAACAGTTTATCATATAATCACATACTTTTTCAATCAAACACTATACACACACAACATCATATCATTTCTATAGCATTTATCATACCACTAACTTATATTTGTTCATATCTCTGGATTAGCCCATGTACATATGTGAGAACTATCTATATGTGAGTCTATAGAGGTTGTGCACTATGCTGTCACCACAGCTCGTATAAATGCACCGAAGTGCCCCGTAGAATTGCACCGTAGTGCCATATAATGATGTCCATAAGGACCACATAGAATTCTTTAAGAATCATATACATATGCTAGGGATCAAGTATGTGTCTTCCCAGACTTCACACATGTTCCAAAGAATATACATATGTCCCGAAGAACCGTGTAGAATTGCACCGTAGTGCCATATAATAATGTCCATAAGGACCACATAGAATTCTTTAAGAATCATATACATATGCTAGGGATCAAGTATGTGTCTTTCCAGACTTCACACATGTTCCAAAGAATATACATATGTCCCGAAGAACCGCGTAGACCCTCGACTCTTGGCATGCCAACTATACCCCTAGATCTCATGACACATAACATGGGCATTATCATTTATTTCATTTCAAATATTCACATAAACTTGTAATTCACTTTCACATATCAATTATCACATAGCTTCTTTTCATATGATCACATAGTCACGTAGTTCACTTACACGTAGATCATTTCCATATAATTCACATGTCACATATGTCATGTTTTCATATAATTTCTATCATTTCTCACCCAATCACCTTTATTCATGTACACATACTCATCATATCTTGTTCACATATGATCATATACTTCATATAACAGATAGGAACACTTTCACGTAGCTTATAATCATAGGTTTGTCTCATAACATATACTTGTTTTCACATATATATTTCATATCAATTCTTATACCATCACATAATTCCTTTAACATACATAACATATCATGTAACATTATAATAGAAATACTTATAAGTCATATCACTTAGAGCACATATACTTATAGTCACATTGCTTATATCTTAATCTTATGCCTTCTCTTAGACATATATATATATATATATATATATATATATATATATATATATATATATATATATATATATATTCACATGTTCAGGTAATCCACCATTTCATCACATAATTGTGTATTCATATAACTCATTTCATTTCATATCTATCTATATATATATATCCTCAAGATTATCCTAATATAAATCATATAGCACTCTTATATTTCGTATTCATATTCATCTAGGGCAGACTTATAAACATATCTCACTTCTATTATTTCTTTATATATAATCTAATCTGTTTACTTAATTCAATTTCATATAACTCCTATAATCTTCTCATATAACTTCATAATTTTCTATCATACAACCCATGTGT